AGGTCCCTTCCAACCTGGGCTGTGTTTAATTATCATGGCCTTTCTATTTTCTTCTGCAAGGTCATAAAGTTTCTTTTGCATAGCATTTCAATCTTCTTCTGTACTAATGGTTCATCTGTATTCAAAGTCCTCACCAGAGATACCAAACAAGAGTGGTCTGCTCTAATCCTTGAGAACCTCCACTTATAAACCATTCTTCAACCCAATAGCTCCCTTTTCAAAACAAACTATTGCCATTTTCCTTCAGCTAGTGCTCTAAATTATTTTTCAGTTCTTGTACTATTTCACTTCATGCCCAGCTAGAATAATTGTATTTGTACAGCATTGCATCAAATATTTAAAGTCTTGTTGCTTATTCCTTATCCTCTCTTATTTTACAGATAACAAATTAGTATTCTCAACATTTACTTTACAATGGGAAGACAAATCTTAATCGTTTGCTTACCCTATGAGAGGTTACTTACGACTTTTGCTTAGAATCTCAAGTGTGTTGACATTTTAATAATTTAGAATAATGAAAACATGACAACAAGTTCATTATGAGACTGATGAAGGAGAAAGTTCTACCAGATAATTAGGAGACATCTATACAGAACTGACTTCTGAGGGGAATGATCTGTGGTAGACTTAACTGGAGAGTACCCAGAGGAGTGCCACGAGCTATACTGGCACTCTGTAGAAACTTCCTAAACACATACAGTATAAACTTCTCTGAAGCAGATTTAAAACAAACACACCTATTAGAGATACCATTTTCTGTTTGGCTACATGAAGAAGCCACTTCAGGCTGAGATGATCTGTGAGACTGAAGCACAGCAGTCAGTCAGGACTAACTCCTCAAACGAATGCTTTAACTTAGTACCAAGGCAGCCCTTTGTGGTTTCGCTTACCCGCTGCTACAGAGAGCTATAATGATGCCCCTACAGCAGACCAACCACATAACCAGTGGAGAACAGATTATTTGCAAAAGCTATACCAGCTATTTCCAGAATAATCAAGCCCTTATATTTGATGTTATGGTTTAAAAATTCTACAGTGGGGAAGAAAAAAAAATCCTACTCTGTTCTTACGGATTTTTTTTCCACAGGAACTACCTAGGAAAAAAATTGAATGAATACCAGCAAAGGAGCATCTATCCCAGGGCTGATTGTTACTATGGTTTCTTTATTAAGAATTAGAGACTTCCAAGTTAGCCTGTAGCTAATTTTTGAGTTAAATATTACCCAAGTTAGTAAGCATAGTGCCACATATCATAGAACCATAGAGTGTCTGGGCTGGGAGGGACCTCCAAAGGTCATCTAATCCAACTCCCCCGCCATAAGCAGGGACATCTCCATCTAGATCAAGCTACTCAGAGCTTCATCCAGCCAAGGCAGCTGTAGGACTGCTTCTACTTCCAGTAAAATCAGTGTAAAACCTTGCTTTCTGCAAAGAATGAATCCACATTCTTTCACTCCCTTATGGATGTGTGCCCACACCACACGCAGTGTGTACTTGTGAAATGTCAGGTGACCCCCTGACGGAAACCCAGGGCTTACAACCAGAAAACTCCTACCCTCCTATAAAAAGAATAGCTTTAGTTTTTATAACAGTAAATAAACCCACCACTTCTCCTGCTTATCTAACATGCTTCCTTCCTGTGACAGGAATTATATCACAGCAGTGATGGGAAGAAGAGAAAAGGGATTTTTCTTTAATGGCTGTTTTACCTATCACTTTCACTGAGGCAGAAATTCTAGACTGATTCACAGATGGAAACCCCAAATGCCATGCAGCAAAACGTTAATCTATGGACAGGAAGCAGTATGGGGTTTATAGCGTAAAGGTTATGTCACTTTTAAGTAAATTTTAAAAGACTGCAGCAACATCTTCCTTAATATTTGACTGATGAAAGTAACCATAAATAAAAGACATAGACAAGATGTACCAGTGAAGCTCAATTCCTGTGTGCTCCTACAGAGCAGCCTTGTTCCTCTAGTACCGGTAACATTGAGCAGCGTTGTCACCAAGCTACATAGGAACAGAAGGAAACAAGAAGAAGGAAAAAAAGTAGCATTTGAAATAAAACAGGGAGAGAATACAAAGGCAAATACCAAATGCAGATGAGATCAGCAGGTATTCCAGAAAGAGCAGCTGACAACAGTAAAAGGCACCAGGGAAAAGAACAGAAAGTCTGTACAATAAGCTGCTTTAAATATGTTTTTTTAAAACATGTATTTCCCAGCAAAACTCTGGATGAGTGCGTGAAGATGCTTATAAACATTCACAGAAGTGAACTGAAAATACCAGTGGGAAGGAGCAAGACTTTCTAATCAGCTCTCTTGAGGTATAGTAGTTGATCTCTGTTATACTCACACTAGCAGTTTTGGGAAGCTTGACATTGTCTTTCTGTTGATTTTTTTTTTACCTTTGGAAGCTAAAATTATATTTTCAAAATATGATCAATTTAGATCTGACCCAAGAACAACTGAAAGGAATTAATAGACAAATTAATGAATTGGATCTAGTCTGCTCCAGGAATTAATACTTTTATCTGTGGGTAAGTTTGCACTGGGCATTTTGCTTCTTCATTAGGAAGAAAATAGAAAAGGAAATCGACGCTAACCAGATCTAGACAAACTGTAACCTTCACTGTGAACCTAAAAGGCAAAATCCAGCTTTCTTGGCAACCCTCACCTAGATTATGCACTCACAAACAAGACTACAATTCACAGGACTCCTCGTGTGAACCACCATCTGAACAGAGTAAAGATCTCCCCTATATGCCTGCGTGTGAAAACCATGTGAATGTAATGTGGACCATGTTCGGAGGGAACAAGTGAAACTAACTAGAAGTTTTCTGAAGCTGGAATACATCAAGTGGTATTTTAGCCATATATAGGTATGAAACATTTGTGTGTGTGTGTGTGTGATGTTGTAACACCCTACTGCAAAGGAGACGTTTGGATCTGAAAAAGAACTTTCTGTTGCTTCTTTAACAAATGGACCTTTTCCTTTCTGTTCTCCTTTCTGGTTCCCTATTCATGTAACAATTATCCCAGGCTCAAGAACATACTTTCATTTTTGAAACTCTGTAAATTAATAGCCTTATGAACAGCTCCTGCAAAGAGGGTAATTAGGTGTATATGTGTATCATTTGCTTAGGGATACATAAGCCTGTGCTTTAACAGTTCATTGTCCCTTTTGACCCATGCTTCAGCTACAACATTAATTCTATAAATACATCAGAATGCTGGATTTATTTGGCTTGGGACACCAATTTTGCTTACTTCTTTTATTTGGGGTTCTTAGCTGCCTTTGAACATGAGTCACACAATATACTGTTTGTGAGAGATGCCTTGGTTAATCTATTGAACAGAAGAATGATGCATGAGGCTTTTTGGAAATAGTGCTGGGAAAAACAGTGGTGCAAGAGCTGCAGGAGGAAGCAGCAGCCCAGGCCCTGGAGGGTTCAAAGCCTGCTGTTACTGATGGACGTGATGCACAGGCTGAAGCTGCACCCTGTGGTTATGGAAGGGAACTGGTGGCAGTGAAGACAGCATTTAGGCTGTAGGTGCTGAAAGTTCTCTTGGGGACAACCTAATGAAAAATTGTTAAAGAAGCCAACAGCTCACATCTGTTATCTTGAGTTTCCAGCCCAAGACGATGGCAAGAGAGAGCCCTTGAAAAGGCAGAACTGACTACATGGCTTCCCCAGTTCTATCCTGGCAGCAATCAGCAATGCATTATTCTACTAAAGAATCTAGAAAAGAAAAAAAGAATCTTTCAGACACTTCCGGTCATATTCTGATGATAAATACTATGGATCTTAGGAAGGGGAGAAATTAATCCCACAAGTTGAAACGAAAAAAATCCAAATGGTGAAGTGAGAGTTGGCAAAGGGGTGGAGATTTTATTATCCAAAGATGCTCTCTGACTGGGAAATACTGCAAGACAAAACACTCTTTGCTGGATCTCAGGCTACAGCATTCACATTCCTAGAGCTTGACACTACTAAGAAAACACTTTCTGTATATTTCTCACTAACATGGTCATGATTCTTCCTTTTGGGGAAAAAAAAAATGTTTTTCTTGCAAGCAGTTATCTCCAGTGTGGACATGGAAGAAAAGGCTTGGTTAAACTCAACTTGTTCTACTCATGGACATCATTTACCAGAAGCAATATGCAAGATGAAGGATAAAGATATTTGTTACTCTCTAGTAGATGCATTAAACCAGTAAATTTTAAAAACTGCTTTTTAAAACAATGTATAGAACTAGAAGAGTCTGTTTCCCTTTTCTTCCACACAGAACAGACAATCATCATTAGAAATTGGCCAAGCCGTACTTTAGGATAAAAAACACTCCAAGAACTAATATCAGCAGGGCTGATGATTTGGGATATTAAAGAAATAAAGACTGAAAAAACTAATTTCTTACACATACTCCAAAAGAGGAACCAATGAAGAAGTTATAAACAAATAACAAAATAAGTGATAGGAAGATTAGCATTAGACTTTGGATTTGACCAGTAAAGAAAAAGTAGAGATGTTATAAAGACATTGATTATTGAAGTTGGAGAACATCACAAAGATGGGACATTGCTTTTATTAACCAAACCTGTTTAGAGGAAAAAAAAACCCAGCAGCCAAAATGTGATATACACGAATGACAAGTGACAAAGGGTTACTGGCAGTTGATGTGTGGGAGAAAGGCATCCCACAGCCCAAGGTCGGTACGTCTCCCTGTCTACATTCTGTTGTGCAGTGGTGGGATGCACCACACTTTGACATTCCTGAATGCAAAACCATTGCTTAAAGATTCTGCCCAATATGAAGTCACAGTTTGAGTTGTCTTTTTTCCATGCTGGTGTTTTCCTGAGATTCAGAAGGCTATAGCACTTCAGCATGGAGAAGACCTGCTTGGTCAAGTCCAGCCCTCTTCAACGGATGACCTGCACCATTAGTAGGCAGTCCTTCAAATCTTTCACACATCACATTTAAAGGTGATTGAGGAGAGGTCTCATCTTGGCAGGCAGCTGGTGAGTGCATCAGGCCTTGGTATGGTCACAAAGTTCATGGTGCAGTGCAATAGCGGACAGATCTTTTCATGATCCTTCAACACTTCACTCAAGTGTTTCATTTCATCTGTTAGCTTTCCGATTTCTCTTCTCAGGGAGGTATTTTCTTGCTCAAGAGACTCATATTCCTGGAAAGAGGGGAAAAAAAAAAGCCTACTCATAGTCAAAACATTTCTTTCAGTGCTTCCACCTTGAGTATATTCGTGTAACTGTAGAAAAACTGTGTGGTGTCTTATTACCATGTGCCAAATGCTAACAGAAGACAAACACAGACTGGGTGCTGAAACAGGCCAACTCTTTATGACCTGTGCCCTGACCACACCACGAATCCTTTTGTGGCCCAAAAGACCAGGAGGTGCTGCTGGTCCTCAGGGGTCCCCAGCAGCCCAGGGCTGCAGGTGTGAGTGGCTGCATGTCCCCTGGCCCCGTGGTGGCCTCTCCCTGGGATGCCTCTGCTGGAAAGGGCCGAGCAGGGCAGCTCTGCACTGTCCGAGTGGAGAAAATGAAATCACTGACTGCAAGCAGGTGCTGGGGAGTGGGTGCCTATCATTCTGGTAGGCAAAGGGCAGCCCCTGCCCGGGGCCAGTGTGGGTAAAGGCACACCTAGCACAACGTGCCAGCCGCTCTCCTCAGGCCCGCTGGGGCTTGTAGCTCCCTGCCTGCCCTGATGCCCAGGAATTCAAGAGTAGGAGAAGCATTGTACCAGCTCATTCCCAGCCCCACTTTGCCACCAGAAGGCCTGACCACTGCCTTGGTTATCCCTGACCTGTGCTGCTTTTAAGTTGGGGCTTCTCTGGCAATGAATAAACTGCTGTTAACTGCAGGGGAGTTTTGAGATACCCTGCAGCACACTTCTGTGGTGGAGGTGAGACCCACATGTCACATTTTTTAAGTGTGTCTCAAGTGTCCCGGCTGTCAAGCTCTCTCGTCCCAAAGAGAAGAGAGAGAGAGGTTCAGAGCCAGCCCACGGAAAACCTGCAGGTGCCTGCACTGGTGGCCTAGGGCTCAATGCTCACCCACTCAATCTCACCTCCCTGGGAAAGCTTCAGAACAAACTTCAAAGCCTATACATGACTTAAAAGGCCTGTTTACAGGCAGCAAGGAAAGCCTCTTGTGCACTGCTCCTCTGGGCAACCTGGCACTGCCTCAGCTGCCCTTTGTGTAGGAGTTTGTATCCCCTTGCCCTCCCTCACACCCCTACACCATCTACCACCTCTCACACACAGAGTCAAACAGGGACAGTCCTGCTAACACATTATAGTAGCCAACTCCAGCGAAGTTTTCCATCCCCAGCTCTGGCTCTGCTCATCTCTTGTTGCCATAAACCCCACGGGCCTGTGTTTTGGAGTAAGTGTTACTGTCCCATCGCCCTGTCTCATTTTCAGCAATGCAACTATCAAATTGTTCTTGCTAAGAATGAATTCCTATTCAACCAGATCTGCCTGCATCTGGGAAAACCTGCATGCCCAAGAATGAAGATTCCCAGCATGAGGAAGATCCTCAAGTTCAGGAGGAACATCAGACAGGGCCCATCAGCAGGATGGCACAGGGCCCATGAATGTTTCCCCAAAAGCCAGGGGTTACCCCTTTCCAGAAGTACCCTGCACCTGGCTTTCTCAGGCACTGACTCAGAGGTCTAAGAAAAACCAAACCCAAAACTCCCCAGACTGTCCCACTTGGCCTCTGCTGTTGGCAGATCCTTCCATACTGAGAAAGAGAAGAGCCTGTGCTGAACCTCCAGAGCTGAACAACTGACTCAGCCACGACTGCAGCAGCAGAACTAACGGTTACCCCAAAGGCCCTGGTGACAACCAAAGCACTGCTGTGTGGGGTGACATCCAAAGCCAGAGAAAGGGGATTCCTGTCCTCCAGCATTTGCACTGAGGACACAAGAAAACTACACCACAGTGTGATATTGAGAACTATTAAGAGTTTCTGGAAGAAGCAGCTACATTCATGTTTTTTTTTGAGACACCCACTGTTACTATCAGAGTATAAAAGTGCAACAGCAAACTGAACCGAGCTCTCAGGCCTGGAGGTTTCTAAGTCCGTAAGAAGTCTTTTCATCTGGGTATTTCTGCTTCACACCAGTTTTAGAACTGACTTAAGCCAGCACTGCCACTAAGCAGCATGATCCCTCCTCCTCTACCACCTTCTCCTTCATGAGGCAGCAAGCATTCATCCACTGCCATAGTGAACATGACAAGTTTAACACTAATCCAGAAGAAAACGAGTTTGTTTAAGCCCAGAGAAACCCTGTGGTCCCTTTCACTGCGTGGTCAGAGGAATAGCAAGAGAGGGACGGTGAGGCAAGGGCAGAACAACACCTCTGTCTTTGGCAGTGTCCCCAGTGGCAGAGCTGCACAGTCCAACATCAGCATCTAGGGGCTCCTGATGAGGCTCCCCGCAGCACGCCAGTCTCTGCTGCACACCCCAGCTCTCAGAGCTGTGTGGCCAGAAGACAGGCCCACGCCTGCTTGGTAAGTCCCATTTATTGTCAAGTCCCACGCTCGGTACCCAAGCTGTGCCTGCAAACCTTCAAGCACTCATTCACCTCATGAAGTTTATCTGCTTTCTGAGTTTGTTTCTTTCGGCTCCTCTGTGCAGCAACTCGATTTTTTTCTCTCCTCCTCACCTTCCTGTCATCTTCTTCGTGACTCTGGAAGACATACGCCAGAAACACTTCGCTAGTATTTGAGGTGCAGGAGGCTCCCCTAATCTGGCGTGTAACCGCTTCTGGGAACAAGCGCCTACTCCCAGTCCATAGCACCTACTCCGGCTTACCA